GACCTCCGGAACGAATTAAGTTTGTAAATAGAGGTACCACTGTATAAGCAAACAAGTGAAAATGTTAAAACTAGCATGAAAGAAAAACAAATAGAATTCTAAAAAAGACAATCCTATTTTGAAACATCTCACCCAGGCAAGGAGGCCACAGGTAATGAAGAGCCAAAGGCCTGGCGAGAAACAAACATTTTTGCCTGGTGCCTAAAGATATACAGTGGTACCTCAGGTTACAGACGCTTCAGGTTACAGATGCTTCAGGTTACAGACTCCGCTACTGCAGAAAAGATCCTTTCTCATGTTGCCACCCTCCAGACCACTCGTGGAGGAGGCACAGAAAGAAGGGCTTCAGATGATAAGTGGAGGGTCCCAATTAGTTCTTATAGGGAGAGGCGATCCTTGAGGCATTGTGGTCCTGAGCACTTTGAACTGAGCCCACAAACTAATTGGCAGCCAGTGCAGTTGGGCCAGGATTGGCGTCATATGCTCAAACCATCTTGTCCCCGATGAGCAACCTGGCCACCGAATTCTGCATCAGCTGAAGTTTCCAAACCATCTTCAGAGGCAGCCCCACATATAATGTGTTGCAGTAATTTAATCTAGAGGTTACCAGAACGTAGACCATAGTAGTTAGGCTCTCCCTGTCCAGATAGGGGTGCAGCTAGGTCACCAGCCGAAGCTGATGGAAGGCGCTCCATGCTACTGAAGCCACCTGAGCCTCAAGCAACAGCAGAGGATCCAGGAGTACCCCCAAGCTGTGTACCTGGGAATGTTACCCCCATCAAAAGCAGGCAACCTCCCAGCCAACTGGTCTAGGGAACTGCCCACTAGCAGTGTCTCAGTCTCATCTGGATTGAGATTTAGTTTGTTGGCTGTCATTCAGTCGATTACCAAGTCAAGACAGCGATATCCACTGCCACAGCTGCAGATGTAAAGGAGAAGCAGAGTTGTGTGTCATCAGCATATTGCTGACAAGGTACTCCAAACCTCCAGATGACTCCACTTGGTGATTTCAAGTAGATGTTAAACGGCATAGGGGATAAAATCGAACCCTGAGGAACCCCACATTGAAGACTCCATGGGGCCAAAGAACACTCCCCAAGCATTACCCTCTGGAAACGACCATCCAAGCAGGACCAGAACCACCTCAAAGTGTCAGGCAGCAGAGGATCCAACCCCCACAGCAGGTTGCCAGGAACAGATAAGACAAGGAAAAGTGCTTGCCATCTGCTTTTTATTCAATATTTACAGAGAGATGCTTATGAATGGAGCCTCTTGAAATAATGGCATTGTCCTGAGTGATTTTCCACTCCCACTTCCTCATGAGTCATTGCTATGGGTGCTGAAAAGCCTTTGAGCTCTTTGCTCTCCTACTTTCAATGCTCACCAGGTTCTGGGAGGTGGAGGGCCTGAAATGCTTTCTAAAGAAACTGTGTCCCTCAGCTGTCTCTCCCCTGGTGCTTCCTCTTCCCCCTCCTCCTGTCCCATTATTTCCCTGCTTTCCCCCTCATCTGCCTCTGAGCTGTGATCTCCCTCAAACCCCTGTTGTAATTCTGAACTGTCTTCTTCTTCTTCTCTGGAAGGGTCAGGCTGGGGAGGCAGTCTCCACCATTCCTCCTCTGCCCAGTCCCTGACACAAAAGTGGTGCCAGCCTCTCCTAACTCAAACAGCCACTCTAGAAGGATACCATGGTCAATGGTATATTAGAGAACCCTCTTTTAAAAAATCTTTAGCTACTAACCTGTGTGGAACCTGCTAACCAAGACTCTTTTTTTTTATAATAATAATATTTATTCAAAGTTTAAAGTTACAAAAAGAAAAAAGAACAATACAAAATACAAAAAAGAATATAACAATAACAGAGAGAGAAAAAAAGAAAGAAAGAAAAAGGAAAAAAAGAAGGTATAAAAATACATTCAATTGAAATAGAACAAGAACAGATTAAACCTTTACATAACTTTTTTCCTTTACTTATTTCCTTGACCTCCTCTCACCTTCCAATTTTGTATTCTAGTTCAGATCGTTTTTTCAGCAAATCCTTCCAACCTTATTTTCATTTACGTAGTTTAATTTAAGTATTATAATTTAACATCCTCTCTTTCATCAATTTCATCAACTCATTTTTGCTTAATCCTTTATATCATATCTACCAAAACTACCTAATTTTCTTTCCCAACATCTTTCTAACAGTCTTTAATATTACAATATTTTTTAAGATATACTTTAAATTTTTCCAATCTTCTTCCACCGACTCTTCTCCTTGGTCCCGGATTCTGCCAGTCATCTCAGCCAATTCCATATAGTCCATCACTTTCATCTGCCATTCTTCTCGGGTGGGTAATTCTTGTGTCTTCCAATACTTTCCGATGAGTATTCTTGCTGCTGTTGTAGCATACATAAAAAAGGTTCTATCCTCCCTTCGCACCAATTGGCCGACCATGCCCAAGACTCAGCAGGTAACAAACTGCCCACAGTTTCATGCAGAAGGAAAATAAAATTGTCTTCAACACGTGTGCTTGAAAGGAGCAGGAAGAGAAATGCTATACAGTACTGCAATGGTGAAGAACTTCGGGCACAGAGAATGACGGCATACAACTTCCAGGTCATGTGGCCAGCATGACTAAGCCGCTTCTGGCGAAACCAGAGCAGCGCACAGAAATGCCGTTTACCTTCCCACCGGAGCGGTACCTATTTATCTACTTGCACTTCATGCTTTAGAACTGCTAGGTTGGCAGGAGCAGGGACTGAGCAACGGGAGCTCACCCCGTCACGGAGATTTGAACCGCCGACCTTCTGATCAGCAAGCCCTAGGCTCTGTGGTTAACCGACAGCACCACCCGCATCCTATGTGGGATTGTACAAAGGTAAAATTCACACCCAATCCTCTCCCTACTTTTGCATCTGCCCCCCCACTGGCATGTGGCCCTCAGAGGGGGTTGTCCCAAAGGGCATAAGACCCTTGAGCTGAAAAACGGCAGCTGCCCTGCTTTGTCTCCCTTCGTTTTTCAAATGAACGCTCAGAGAACACACTTCTGAGCTGCCTTTTCCTGCTTGCCTCTTGTTGAGTTTCTTGCAGAGGCTGCCCGCTCGTTGGCGAACGAGGTTGTGCTGCAAAAGCACACTCACAGCCCACCAACCCCCCCATACTGCTGTCTGAAACCAGAATATATAAGTTGACCACCTCTAAGCTAGATGGACAGCCACAATCGCCATCTTTTATTTATTTATCGGTTTGCTTCACTTTTTTATAGCCAACCCTTCTGACCTCCATGATCCTCGAGGCTTACGAAGGGGAAAATAAAACAGCCACGATGAGATCCGAAAATCACAAACCAAGAAACAAGACAAATAGAGGCAGCAATGGAAGCAGAATAATAACTGTGCTTCTCCTCTAAAAGGCCCGGGTAAATATTGATCTGCCAAAGAACTGCAACCAATCTCCCCCTCCCCCATGTTGACAGTTTGGGGCTGCAATCCTAAAGGCACTGACTAGGAAGTAAGTCCTTTTGGACACTGTAAGACTCCCTAATGAGTCAACATGCACTGGATAGCCACAGGATGGCTGTTTGCTACCAGAGACAGGTGAGTCAAAAGTGCCTCCACTTCCCAGGGGACTTTGGCTATTCTAGCTTCCTATCAGTCTATGATTCCCCTACTGAATGTATAGACTCATATATGGGTGTCAAATGAAGCGATTGTGCTTCATGTTCTGTGGGTAGGCTTTTCGGATTCTAGGCTTTCATCCTGAGATGGCTGAAGATCCATTCATGGCTATCTGCAAATCTGGATCCAGGACCAGTCCTAGCATTTGGCAGATTGATGCGACCACCTCAGGCAGCTCATTTTCTGTGCCTTGAACAGGACAGCAATTTTCTTAGTTGTTTGATTCATTATTCTTGTATTTTTACTCACAAGGGTTTGGGAGTGATGGATTTTAGGCTTTTCTGCCACAGGTAGGGATGGGCAAATATAATAATAATAATAATTAATATTTATACCCCGCCCATCTGGCTGGGTTTCCCCAGCCACTCTGGGTGGCTTCCAACAGAATATTAAAATACAATTGTCATTAAACATTAAAAGCTTCCCTAAACAGGGCTGCCTTCAGATGTCTTCTAAAAGTCTGGTAGTTGTTTTTCTCTTTGACATCTGGTGGGAGGGTGTTCCACAGGGTGGGTGCCACTACCGAGAAGGCCCTCTGCCTGGTTCCCTGTAACTTGGCTTCTCACAGCGAGGGAACCGCCAGAAGGCCCTCGGCGCTGAACCTCAGTGTCTGGGCAGAACGATGGGGGTGGAGACGCTCCTTCAGGTATACTGGACCTGTTGAACTAAAACTGCCTTGGCTGATGCAAGTTGGAGTTCAGTCATCTTTGGAGAGCACCACATGGGTGACGGTGGCCTTTGGCTGTCTCATTGGCATGGGAGAAGCAGATCAGGAGGGAAAGAAGGACACCCCCTGCTCTGTCTCCTGAATCAGACAAATGCCCCCAAGCTGTACCATCGCAAAGGTTGACGCGCCTTCCCCTTTTCCTGGCTCTGATAAATGGCACCCATCATCGGCATCCGAACTTGCCCTACTATCGAGACAGCCCTGATATTTACACCTCCGCCTTTGGATGAGTCAAGGAAACACAATTGTCAAGGACCTTTCTCATGGGAACAGATCGCTTGTGCAACGGACACCTGCCCCGCCCCGCCAGGCCCTCTCACTGCAGCTGGTGATACAACCTTTATAAATATACTCCTGGTGGTTCCTTCCAATGTCGTTTCTGCTGACCTTTAAAGAACAATCTCGTGAAGTGCATGCAATCCCTACAGGGCCCTTTCAACTGCTTTCGAAAAACCGACCACTAGACAACTGGATAATTCAAATTAGAGCGAGCATTTCGTGCTCTGCACACTCACCCTTTCTGTACTTGGGACCCCTTTTGAGGTCGTAGAATCATAGAATTGGAAGGGACCCTGAGGATCATCTAGTCCAACCCCCCTACAACGCAGGAATATGGAGCTGTCCTGTATGGGAATCGAACTTGCAAGCCTGGCATTCTCAGCACCATGCTCTAACCAGCTGAGCTATCCAGCCCCTGGGGACTTTTTTAAAACCCACATTAATTGCATTCATGAAAATCAGTGCCAAATGCAGCTTGGCCCTGAGACTCCCTTTTCAATAGGAGGATACAGGCCTTCAGGCTACAAAATAATAATGAAAACACTTCTGAGAATATGTAGAATGCCGTTCTTTCACTACAGTGTACTAATAGCCAGCCAGACACCTCTCCATCAGTAATTTTTATTTTGTTTTGTTTTTTAATTAAACTGATTGTTTTTTAATTAAACTGGGAATGGAGGCAGCTGTCATAATACTACACTTCCCACTCCTCTGTGTCTGGACGATGCTACTATCTCAAGGGCATTTTAGGCTGACGGTGCATTTCATGTGAGAGCAGCTGAGCAGTTGAGAGGGAGCAGTCAGGGCCTTTTCAGTTGTAACCCCATGCCTGTGGGAGTTTGTTCCAGCTGAAATATGTAACACCCCATTATTACACGCCTGCATTGCAGGGGTTGGACTAGATGACCGCTGGTGTCCTTTCCAACTCAACAATTCTATGATTGCAGCCAGCCAAGCAAGCTCTAAAGTACTACTTGTTCACAACTGCCTTCTCTTGAATTAGGAACTGCTTGGGCTGTCAGCTGTGTTTTATGATTATTTACTTGATTTTATGCTCCTTCTTGGGCTAAATGCTGTTTGCGATTAGTTTTAATTTTTGAATCTCGTATCTTATCCATTGTGTCTACCGTATTTTTCTGTGTATGAGATGCCCCCATGTATAAGATGACCCATAATTTTTGGGACTCAAAATTAAGAAAATACACTGTGCACTATCTGTGTATAAGAAGACCCCTTATTTTAAACTTCAGAAATTTAGGAAAAAATATAGTCTTACGCACGGAAAAATACGATATATTGTTTCCAACTAGCATATATTTTTATAGCATATAAAGGTAAAGGGACCCCAACAATTAAGTCCAGTCACGAACAACTCTGGGGTTGCGGCGCTCATCTCTCTTTACTGGCCGAGGGAGCCGGTTTACAGCTTCCGGGTCATGTAGCCAGCATGCCTAAGCCCCTTCTGGCGAACCAGAGCAGTGCACGGAAACGCTGTTTACCTTCCCACCGAAGTGGTACCTATTTATCTCCTTGCACTTTGACATGCTTTCGAACTGCTAGGTTGGCAGGAGCAGGGGCCGAGCAATGGGAGCTCACACCGTTGCGGGGATTCGAACTGCCGACCTTCTGATCGGCAAGCCCAAGAGGCTCAGTGGTTTAACCCACAGCGCCACCCGCGTCTCCTTTATAGCCTATAGCAGCATATAAATGTTTTAAATTAATGCATTAAATTGGGTTAAATTTATATCCAGCAAGACAACATCTTGGGGCAGCCCTCCTTGAGACTGCTGTTGTCCTACCTCACAAGGTATTTGTAGAGGCAACATTGGCAAGAATGCCAAAGAATTCTGCAAAGTAAAAACACTTTATGAATAATTGCTGGCGACAATAGATAGGGGATTTAACTTTCAGGGGGTTTTGTTTTGGTTTTTTACAGCTCACTCCCAATTTCACATCTCTTCCCACGATGACACGCCTGTCTAGCTGCACATCTCATCCGGCTAGCCTCTCCTTAGTGTTAATGGAGCTTAGATGCAGGCAGTGAAGTAAGTCTAAACCCTGGAGACTCAAACACATTCTCCCTCATAAGTACAGCCATTCTTCACATTTGTTCATTCTCACAGTTAATGATGCTCTGCGCGACACAAAATTCCAGAGGACAAGATGGGGTGAAGAATCACCCCCAATGTATCGGGCATCAATCTTTAATCCCAAACGTGATTCTCCTTACTTTCCTTCCTGCTCCCCCTTGTCTCAACTTTAAGTCTTGCCATGTCTTTAAGTTCTGAAGCTAAGAAGGAGGCGTTTCTGCCAATTATTGGGAGGAAACAAATCGTTGTGGTCTTTTCATTTATTTAAAATATTTCCACTCCACTTTTCCATCACCTGAGGCATCATACACACGAATGCCAAAATAATACAAGAATAAACTATAAAAGCAGATTTAAAATGCAACAGATTGAGATGAAAATAAAGCCATCAAGAGACAAAAATCAAGTCCAAAGCAAAGGCATTAAAAAGAAGGGGGGGAAGAGAAAATTTAATATTTGTGGCTTTGTTTGGTAGCCAAAGATTATTTCTTCTAGCCTGCTGGAAAAATATTAAATAGGTCTCTGGGCACACAGAGGATGTTTTTCTATTTCCACTGAGCATGCACAACTTTCAGTGAAAAAGAAAAACTTATGGGGGCAGATGGCGTGACTTCCACACATCACGCGCCAGAAATATAAGACTGTAAGAGTCAGTGTGTTGTTGTGGATACAGTGTCAGACTAGGACCTGGGAAACCAGGGTTCAGATATCCATTCAACCATGAAGCTCATAGTCACTGCCTCTCAGCCTAACCTACCTCACAGGGTTATTGTGGGGATCAGATTAGGTGGGGGAGAACGAAGCGTGCCCCCTTGAGCTCCTAGGAGAACAGGTAGGATATAAATGCAATAATAAATATAATGTATAAAAACATTAAAAAACTCTCAAACGTAATGAATCATTGTCAAAAGAATCAGTCTTATCTCAAGAAAATTCATCAATACCTTAGTGCAAATATCTCCTAAAATACATGTTTTTGAAAGTAGCTTTGCTTGACAATATACACATTTTTTGCAAGCGAGTTCCCCTAATATAATACATTTTTATGCACACTTTCCTCTAATCAATGCAGTTTTCATAGATGAACTGCGAACTGCATTGCAAAATTGAGAGAAGGGTGAATTTCAAATGACGGTTTTGTTTTGGTTCTGGTATTGGTGCAAGAAGTGTGGGTTAGGTAGTTTCTCAGCAAAATGCAAACAGAATTTCTTCCCCATCCCTACCACTGAATACCAGCTGCATGGGAGAAACAGGAGCAGAGGGCTATCGCCTCCATGCCCTGCTGTTAGGCTTTCCATTGGCATCTATCTGGTTGGCTACAATGGAAGACAGGATACTAGACTAGCAAGGTCTGATCTGGAAGGGCTCATCTTGTGTTCTTACGTCTCTGTTTGGCTCCTGGCAGAGGGAGCAAAAGGATGCTCATGAATCCCTGCTTAAAATGTTGCCTTAGGTAATGCTGCTAAGGTACACCTGAACTTCCTGTTGGCCTCATCTTTCTGCATTAGAGCTTTAGTGGTCAGCGTGGGTGAGGGAGAGAATCTTAATCTGTGAGCACAAACAGTGATCAGGACAGCTGAGAGATAAGGACATCCTTGTTTATATCTGAGTCTATTTTTGGTTCCAGGGCGTCTTCAAATATGACCTTTCCTTCGAACAATGGTAATCCCTTTTGTATATTAAGTGATGCTATCTAACGCTTCCTTCAACATCTCAAACGAGCCTTTCCATTTTAGTAATATGCAAATGCATTTAAAGTTAATGAATCATTGTAAAGGCAGGCAATAAAGCAACTACAAACCGTTAATTAGCTGGACACCTTAATCCATAGGACTTTCTACGTATGGATCTTTGCAAGGTAATTGTTTGTATCAACTTCAGTTCATCCGGTGGAGCAAAAAAACAAATATTAGATCCTAGCCCTGCTGCAGAGCACTTGAGAATTAATTGCACTGGAAAATGCTCCCTTCTCAGCTCATTACCTATATGCTGTCCTGTCAGTCGTGCTTGATGCATTCTCTCCAGGCTGTAAAATGAAATCTTTTAGTGGAGCGCGTGCACTATGAAAATAAGAATTATGAAACATATACTGACCACACAGAAGTGCACAGCCCTCCCAAGGGAAGTGTGTGTTTTCTTGTCTGAGTTCCTAAATCTGAGTAAGTGCCAAGGTAAGGGCCGGCCTCAAGAGTCAGCAGGGGTGGGCATCTGCTGAGGGCCCACACTCCAAAAGTGGAGCCTACTGTGGAATTGGTCCTCCTGTTCACCATTGCAACCTGTTGGCTTGTTCACCCACCTCTTCCTGTGGCCAATGCAACACTGGTGGTGAGAAAGAGGAACCGCGGGTGTCGCCGTTTGCTTGCTCATTGGTTCTCTGCCTGGCAAGCAAGCCCATGAGGAGGAAGAGGAGCAGTACTTGGGGATCAGAGCAGTGGGTTTTCTAGGAGAGGGAGACATTGGGAGGGTCTTGCCAAGGAGCTTCCGAAACATGGGACCAGCGCTTGCTCGGGCGATGGAATGGTGACTTTTGGGGGGATTGGCAAGTGAGAGGGGGCACTTTTCCCAAATCCCTGTGGTCTAAGTCCAATGCTCAAAGTCAGGGATGGGGAACGTTTTTGTGATGGCCTGGGACTCGGGCTCGGACTTGGAGCCAGAGGAGTCTCAGTCTGAACTGGATGCTTTGCCTCAGGCGGCATCTGAATCTAGTCTGGGGCCTGATTCTGAAAAGCCCCAGTCTGCACAGCTTCCCCTACAACAAGCACCAGCTGGGCCGAGTCAGGGGCCTGAGCCTGCCCTGGCTCCAGATGCAGGGATTACCTTGTTGCCTCCAGATGGGCAATCACTTACAGCTACTCCACTACTGGTTGGGTCAGGAGAGGCAGAGGTGGCCTCTGGGTCTAGTAACCCACCGACATCTCCCGAGCTGCAGAGACTCAGGTCTGAGAGAAGGAGAGACCTGAGTACTCACAGGAGGAGTGCCTGCCTTCGGGCGAGACAGGGAGGTGAGTCACTGGGGGATCAGGACCGACCGTTACCCCGACAGAGATAAAAGGCTGCTGGACCACGCCCCAGGTTGCGGGAGTAACATTGCTGTTTGCCAGAACCGCCTGTGATCCTGTGCCTGACCTTGCCTGGTTTCCTGCCTCGTGTCCTGCCTTGGCCCTGTCAGACTGACTCCTCATGGAACCCTTGGATTCGGGAGCAGACCTGGACTGTGGTTCTCGGGTTACCCCGGGCCCAGCAGTTTTTCAACTTGAGGGCCACATGGGGAACCTTCCATGGGCTACATGGCCATAATGCGTAGGGCAACAGATACAAATCTTATC